GACCAAGTTTAGTCATTTGATAAAATCAAATGTGTTTTGAAAAAAATTGCAACAAGAGTATCTCATGTTTTTATTTTTTTTATGTGACCAAATACAAATATGTATAGTGCAAATACACACAAAATAATACAAAAAACAAGGTTTTGCACTCTAGACATTTGTATTTGTACTCCTTCCAAATTGAGCTTGAGGCTGCGTTTGGTTGCAGTGCAATTTTATTTGCACTAATACAAATGCATGGGAGTGCAAATAAAAAAAATGCAAATTCTCATTTAACATTATTTTGGTTTTTACTTTATTATGCTCCATGTCTTAATTTACTTCATTTGTACTGCAATCAAACAAAATAAGCTAAAATTTGAAACAAAAATAGGTCAAAATTTACATTCATATCATTTGTACTGCCATAATTTTGCATTAATACAAATTTATTTGCATTGCAACCAAACACAGCCTGAAGTACATGGATGATGGGTGAAAAATCATAAAAAACATAATGAAAAAACATATGGAATATAATGATGATAACATGAAGGTCGAGTAGAGACAATGAAGATGTAGTAGCGAAGGGAAGAATAAAGATAGGGTGAATGATTCAATCAATATTTCTTGAAACAATTAGGAACTAGACGAAAAATTAGGACTCCTTCAATTGTGAATGCAAACAAATAATGGATGTTTTTCTTACTCAAACAAATGAATGAACCCCTAAAAAGGCTGCAACAGATTACCCTATTGTTAATCATGTAGGTGCTCTTCCAGTTGCTAACTCTCCAACAATCCATGATCGTGCTTCATGAGTTGTTGATGAAGCATCTTGTATGAACAACATGGATTCAAAGTTCATTGTGGATGTTGATGTTCTATCAGGGAGAAAGCCAAAATTTGAATTGAGGAGGTTTGAATAATCTAGAAATGAAAGTGAGCCTATTCAATCTATAAGGTTTTTATTTTTGGAAGTCAGCTCAGGTCAAAATAAGATGTGGAGGGGTTCGATTATGATACTGAAAATAAATCATATCCGAAAAACTTTTGACCAATCAACTGTTATCATAATCATGTTAACCAATTAAATGGTATTTATCAAAATTTATGGGTAGGTTTTGATTGGTCAAAATTCTTCCAGTACCATGTCTTTCTAGCATCAAAGATTTATCCGACGTGGAGAGTTGTGATAGTGCCACTATTTTATGTTGTAATAAATAAATAAATAAATAAAAGTTTTGCTAGTGAGAATTGGTGAAAGGCTGAACAAACCCTAGAAATCGGTTCTTTCTACGATTAAATCATCAACAATCCAAGATTTTATGCTGAGGGTGTTGTATGGAGAATATTGTATGAACTTGACCATTTCAAAGTTCAACAAGGAGGAGGTGGAAGAAGTTACATTGGCAAGATGTGTAATAGATTTTGTATTGGGAAAACTTGAAGAATCTTCAATTGCAATTAGAGTTGCATGGTCTATCGAATTGATATTTTCTAAAGCAACTCATGATTAAGAAGATCATACCAAGTGCCGTGATGATAAACTTAGAAGAACTAAGACATGATGATCCGAAACAAGAAGAAATAAAAGATGTTTCCCTCCTTGCTTATTAATGCAGAAATTGCACACATGCAACAATCTCCTTAAATGGGTGCTCTTGCAAATGATAAATCACCAATAATAGTTTTCAAAGGTAGTAGAAATGGACATGTATGGGTAGTGGCTCAACAGTGAGCATGCTGAAGAAGTTGAAATAGTAGGACCATCAATAGATTGTGGGTTTAAGAAAAGTAAAGAATCTGTAGTCACTCAATTTATTGTGTTGATATTTTTCTGAAACCACAATAGACCACAAAGGTGATGAGAACTGAGATTATATTGCAAGTTTCTCTTGTGGTGCAATTGAAATTTCAGTCATGCAAGGAACCAATGGAATCACTTCTACTTTTGAAGCACAAATTAATGAATGGTAATGGCAAAAGGGGCATTCGAATGCAACAAATCATTTTAAGGGTGTTCTACAACATGAATGTTTTTGTTTTCATTTGTTTTTGGAATCACCAGTTTACCACACTGGCAAAAACCAAAAACATGTTCTTTGAACTCTGTTTTTGTTTTCAAAGAAAAAAAAAACAAGTTGGGTTTTGTTTTAAAAAACAATACATGTTTTATGAACCAACAAAATATTGTTTTTAAAACAAAAATAAATTTTCTAGTATAGAAATTACTTGATTTATAGAGCATGATATTGAATAGTCAAAGTTTCAGTTTTGAAAAACACATATACAACCAATAACATGTTTCTTGTGTTTTTATTTTAAGAAACAATATGTTTTCAAACAAGAAGGTTTTTGCTTTTAGAACAGACAACAAGAAAAATAATCCGCTTTATGCGTGAGTTGGCGCAAATAATAGCCAAATAACACAAATGGTAATAGCAAAAGGCACGTTCAAACACCCCTCCCTCCTCTCCCATTGATTGCATTTTGGTACTACTCCCTTTCACTCTAAAATGGTGAGAAAGAGATTCCAAGAAAATAAAGAATGAGGAAGTGAAAAAAAAAAGTCTTGCAATGAGTCTTTTAGTTGAGGCAACTTTGTCTTGAAAAATTAAAAATCTCTCCCACTCATTTGTTTTTGCCATTATATTGAAAACATGACTATTTTATTAAATGACCAAACTTGGTCATTTATTCCGTAAAATCCCTTTCTTATTTATCTGAACGATTCGTGGTTCAATTAGTCTTCTAAATATAATACTGAAGTCATCTCAGTTGCTCTAATAAATCTTTCCAATAGATATAAATTTAAGATTTTGTTTGGTTCTTCTTAATTTATTAGAGAAAGGAGTAGATAATTTTAATAGTTTAGGGTAAAAGACTTAAACCTCGTATGACATTTCGCCTAAGTCCTAACTAATAAAACATCCCCTCACTTTTCAAACTGGACTTAGACCTCCCCTCTCATATTTGCAAACCGTTATCTCTAATAGAGAGAGGAAAATGACTAACACACCCTGGGTTAAATTTGGAATTAATTTGATTTATAACCAATTTAGAGAGAAAAAAAAATCATCTTCAACCTTGAATCAGTCAAAATTTAATTGCCCCTTCATATCACTACTGCATTGATGCCAAAGAAACTCTGGTAGCCTTTTATAAGTGTGTTTTCTTCTATTTGAAAACCAACACTCATCCTATGGTCAAAATGATCAAATCAACAAATAATAACACTTTAATTCTCTATGTTCAACAATTGTATATCACGGAACTATTATTATTTGGAGAAAATCCATAACAAATGATTCAATTTGATCCTCCCAACCCCAAACATTGGAATCTCTTCCACCCTAAAGATTTACCTAATCCATGGATGGCTTTCAACTAACTTTCTTAGTGTTTAATAAAAGGGAAGGGAAATTGTCTAAAACTCACCTTGAGTTTTCAGCATTTCTCTTAAACTCACCACAACTTTTCAAAATGTCTAAAATCACCATGCCAATAACTTGACGTTAAACAGACTAACGGGTGTTAATATATTACCATTTTAACTTTCATAGAAAAATATAATATATATATATATATAAAATAAATTAGCGGGTGTTAATATATTACCATCTTAATATTTAGACCTGAAAAAAGGGAAAAAGTTCAAAAAATGTTTTCATATATAAAATACATAAAAAACATAGAAATTACAAAAAATATAAAAATTGTAGAAATTGCAAACAAAATAAAAAATGTTTTCAAATTATAGAAACTATAGAAATTGAAAAACAAAATCAAAAAATAAAAATTGTAGAAAAACACCAAAAATCATAGAAAAACACAGAAATTACAAATAAATAACAAAAAATACAGGAAAATTTATAGATTGTAGAAAATATAAAATGTAAAAAAAACAGAAATTATAAAAACATTGGAAATTATAACAACACTAAAAATGCAAAAAAAAAACAATAAAATTGAAAACTAAAAAGACCATTTTTCTCTAACTCGCTATACAAGGGTAATTTGGTCATGAAAATTGTTATTTATGCTGGCATGGACACCTCTTCTATGAAGCATTAACGGTGCACTAATGGAAGGTGAGTTTTGGAAAATAATAATGACATGGTGAATTTTAGACATATTGAAAAGTTGTGGTGAGTTTAAGGGAAAAGTTGAAAACTCATGGTGAGTTTTAAAAAAATTCCCTTAATAAAATAAATCTCAAGTAAGAAATTTTAATCAAACACCAATTGGAAAGGAAAATCAATGCAAATCTTTCCCTTAGAAGTTAGAATTTCAAAACACTTTTCAATTCTTCACACTTTGTTTCAGATAAGAAACTTTCATTATAAGAATAAAATAAATCTTAAGTATAAAATTTTAATCAAACACCAATTGGAAAGAATTCTATGCATATCTTTCCCTTAGGCTGTGTTTGGTTGCAATGCGAATTTATTTGCACTTATGCAAAACCATGATAGTGCAAATGATTTTGGTGCAAATTATGATTTGTTCTTAGTTCAAAATTTACCTTATTTTGTTTGATTGCAATACAAACGAAGTAAAGTAATTAGACCTGAAGCAGAATAAAGTAAAACTCAAAACAAAATTAAACCAGAATTTGCATTCTTTACATGTCAATGAAATAAAACTTCTATGTCAATGAAAAGATTCTTGTTACTTTAGCTAATGTCCATTTTCAGAAAAAATAGAGGTATTTTTGGGTCAATTAGGGTTTAAGAGAGAAGGGCAAGGGATAAATATGGAAAGATTAGATGGGTATTTTAGTAATTTTATAGGTTCTCCTCTCTCACTTAACAGCCGGGTGGTATTTGTCATAACGTATAAGTTCAGGGGCTTTTTATCACAAATAAAAATTAAGGGGGTAATTATCACTGATCCATAGTATAGGGGTGGCCCTCGACGTCAACGAAAATGCAGGGGGCTAATTGTCACTAACTCCATAGTATGCCCTTTTAAATAATAAACATAAAATGCGACCATTTCAGAGCGCCCTTCACGCTCTTCCGCTCTTCCATCCATACTAGCTTTCGACGGGGGCAATGGCGATGGTGATGGCAGAGAGCATTGTCGGTCTCGTTGTCATCCTTATGCTGGTTCTGATCATCCTCTTCATTCTCCTGGCCTGCAGGCCATGGCGTTTCTTCTTCTCGTCACCTCAACATCGTCAGATCAAGGTAACAAAATCCAAAACCGATCAAAAATAGCATTTTTTTATTTATTTCGAATTAACTAGTTTCTTAAATTCTCCAATTTCCTGGACTATGTACTTGATTCGCTTGGTTTTCGTTATGCATCAATGTTCGTGTATTTCAAAATGCAATTCGGAGTCTGTAAAGAGTTATGGATTTTGAGAGTGTTGAGTGTCTCCAGTTCTCCTGAATAAGCACTATTCTGGGTTTGCTTTTGTGTTAGGCTTTGTAAAACAAAACTAGCATTCCATTTTTTTCTCTAATTAATTAGTTCCTTATATTCTGTAATTTCTTGAACTCCGTACTTGATTCGTATATTCGTGTATTTCAAAATACAATTCGTCGTTTGTAAAGAGTTATGGATTTTTAGTGTATTGAGTGTCTCCAATTCTCGTGAATAAGCATTATTTGGATTCGCTTTTGTGTTAGACTTTGTAAATTAGTCTTTTTATTTATGTCAGTATAAAGGGAGAAGAAGATGTTGGAGTAGAACCGTAAAATGATATCGGACCTACATTATTCGATACAATCGATGCTGGATTATTTGTGCCGGTGTTATAGGCGAGCTAGTTTGTTTTTACGTGCATTTGTTCCTTTGGTTGGCTGTCAAAGGAGGGAAACCGGTTATCAACACTGCTTATCGTTTTTTCTTTTTCTTTTTAAATATGTTTAGAAACTCCGGAAATGCTTAATGTGGATCCCTAGTCCGAGTTTTATCAATTGCTAAACGGCCTAATGAATGCAAGCTAAAGGAAAAAATGTGAATAAGTCTCGTTTTGAACTAATGCAAGATAAAGGAAAAAAAATGTGACGATCAACCTTTGTTACTCTCAAGGAGGTGTGGTTACAATATGAAAGCAAAATCTAGCCTTGTACTTAAAATGTCCAAGTAACGGGATACGCAGACTGAGTGGAATTATCTATTAACAGATCAATCAGGTTGTTGTTCAAATGATTTGAACTGTTTCAAGGACCCAATACGCTTTCCCTTCTTTTAGATCCTTCTCCAATTGTCATAACTATATAGTATATTTTTATTGGCCATCACAGCTCTTATTTACTTGAATCCTTTGGAGGGCAAGAATTAGTTGAGCTGAACTGGTGAAGTTGGTCATGTCTTCTGATCTCTACAGAGACAAATGTTATCTGTAGCTTCTCTCTTTAAGGTTTTATCCCTCTCTACTCTCTCACTCAATATAGGTTACATGCTTGGGGTGACCCTTTTTGTGGTTTGGTGGGAGGGGGCACACAAAGACCTATTAATTATTTTGGTTTTCTTTCACCTACCAAAACAAAGATGCTTTTATGAGCTGCACGTTCTAGTGTTGCCTTTCTATAACTTATAAGATTTCCCTTTATTTTAGAAGCTGAGATTTTGAATTTAAAAAGATTCCCATGTTCTTTTCATTTCTATCTTTTTTTTCCCTTTTACATAAGAACCGTGTTTGTTATTATAACGAATTGGCAATGTTGCCAGTTGGTTCCTAGTATGTTTGTGAATTGATCCCAATGTCTCATATTCACATGGCAGCAATACCAAACACTTTTTAAATTATCAAGTATTTGCAGAGAAATCTTAAAGACCACATGTGCTCCCATATTACCATTTAGGAGGTTGTACTCTGTGAAGTTGCTCTATAGGAGTGCCATTTTGTTTAAAGTTAACTTCTTAATGCCTTATCGTACTATCTCCCTTTTTAACAACTCGAGGAACGAAATGAATACTGAAGACCTTCCAGGTGAACATTCTTGATTGGCTGTATATCCAAGATATTTCACTTTGGAATGTATTATGTGTTTTTCCTGTTCGTCATTTCTGTATACTAGGACTTTTTATTTTATGATATGATCACATGAGATGCATGGCATTATTGGAATAATAAATTGGTTAATATTTTGGTTATTAAAATGGCTAATGTTTTGAACAACATTCTCAAGATCATGGGTTCAATTCAGACTTACCCACTAGGAAAAAAGAAAGAGTGTATATTGACCTTAAACTTTTTTTTTTTTTTAAACTTCTGGGTTAATAACTAATGTTCTATTTGGTGGCCCCATCTGCAGGTTGGAGACCTAGAAAGGCCTCTTATTTCTGATGATATAGGTTCTGTCCAAAGTCAAGTCAATGACTTGCCAACAAATCAGCTTTTAGAGGTTTTACATCCTCAAGCTGAAGAGAATATCAGCTCACCAAGAACACAGGGACTTGCCTGTAAACAGAAGCTCCCATCAACGGATGAACATTCTAATCAAGGCATACAATTCTTTCTTGTCATCTGTTTATTCGTTTATTGCTAGTTTTAGACACTTTTCTTTTTGTCACTTATCTTATTGCTCTCTCATTCCTAGGCTTTTCTTTCAGGTGCTAACTTGGTTCTAGATGTAATTTCTGATCCATCAGAAGATGTCCCAGTTGGTCATACAATTAAGCGCACTTTGGTGGCAAAGTGCCCAGTTGAAGAGCGAAAACATGTGAAGAGAGAAAGGACAAATAATCAATTGCCATTCATTGCTGAAAATGATAGTCCTCAAGAGCCTGGGCTTACGGGTATTGAAGCTCAAAGTATTCTCTCATCCATTCATGTAGGAGTTTTATAATGTTTTGAGATATGAAATGCTTACTGCCTATGGACCTTTTATAGTAACTGTTGTATATGTAAAATATGTAATCCTATCATTTTGTTAGAAGTGCAGGAAGCAGCCTGAGCCTGGAAGTTATATCTGGTCCCTCTTGTGGGCTTCGTTGTTCCCTTCTGTCAACAAATACTGCTAAACTTCCAGTGACCCTTGGCCGTGTTTCTCCAAGTGATCTGTTAGTGAAGGATTCAGAGGTCTCTGGGAAGCATGCTCTGATTAACTGGAACACAAATGTAAATGCCTTCACAGAAAATTTACTTGACTTTCATCCATGATCTTTAAGTGTTGCTTTTGTGGTTGCCTTACCACTGGACTTGTGTTTTCTGGTGGCAGAAACTGAAATGGGAGCTTGTGGACATGGGTAGTCTAAATGGAACACTATTGAACTCCCAGGCAGTCCAGCACCCTGATAGTGGGAGTAGACATAAGAGTGAGCCCTTTGAGCTTGCAAGTGGAGACATTATAACTCTTGGCACAACGTCAAAAGTGTCTGTGAGTTGAAGTGCTGTCATATTTTTTATTAACTGATTTCGGTTCTTGATGTTATTGCTTATTATGGATGATAGTGCACTGTTTGTTTGCTTTTTTGCTTGTTTGGAATGATAAAATAGTAGAGGTGTTGGAGGCACCTGCTCCTAACATGCAAGAGTCCTGCAATCCACCTTTGATAAAAAATGATTGTAGGATGTGGTTCTTGTGGCTTGGAACTACATAGTTGATGACCAGTAGCTGAGTGGTAACTTGGCATCCCTCCAAGCATGGAGGTACAGGATCAAACCTTTTAGACAGTGTATGTAGAGATGCAAATGGATCGGATCGGATTTGAATCAGGGTATATCCGAATCCGAGCCGATTGGATCCCACAAACACATATTCAAAATCAAATCTGTTAAAAATGCCGGATATCCGAATATGATCCAACCAGATTTAATTTATGAAAAATTTAAAAAATATAACAGTTTATATAAAAAACAAAATGCAAGTATTTTCTTTAACTATTTTCATCACATACATACATGCGTTTTATAAAAAAGAAATAATATAAAAATGCATTATAAGCATATTTATAAATAAATAATATATATAAATAAACAACTTATATTTATGTATAAATAAATAACACACACATACAAGATTGGATCGGATAGGGACTGACCCGAATCCGATCCGAAAATCCAACAGGAGTATATCCGAATCCAACAAATAGATCGGATCGGACCATGATCTGATCCATTTGCACCCCTAAGTGTATGCCCTCAGGTCCAAAACCTGCATAACTGTAGGCTTTCTGTGGTAAGGTCAGTGGACCTCATGTGCATCCTGCTCTATTCCCACCTCCCCTCTAATGTGTAATTTTTTTTGAAGAATAGAGAGAAAATTCGTTAAAAGAAAAAGAGAATACAAAAGGAAGGTGACAGTAAATCACCTGAGAGAAAAAAAGATACTAATACAACGGATTACGAAATCATTCAAAACAAAGAAACTAAAGCACCAATTCCAAACACCTACACCCACCTCCACAAACTGAGACTACTCAGGACCCAGACATCCAACTCCCTAATCCTCTCCCTTGAACACTTCCTCCTGCCTATCATTATCCTCATCCCATGTCTCTCCTCCTTCCCCAACTACCACTTTCTTCAACCTCTCTTCCTTCTTCTTCCTCTCAAACTCCTCAAAAGCCTTATTAGCAAACTCCTCAAAAGCCTTATTAGCAAACTCCTCACCTCCCGAAAAGAACAAGCCAATACTTTTTTTGTCACTTCAAAGTTGATGTCAATTCCATTGTCTTTTTCATGCCAACAAAACCCCACTTTAGAATGCCCGAGAGTCCACGTCCCTAGCCTCTTCGGTTGTTGGCATTGATACCTTCCCTTCTCTCCTTTTATAAACCTTTTTGTAATTTTTTGTAGGTCTTGCCCCCACCAAACCAAGTTTGAACCGAGAAAATACCTTGGTTATGTGAACAATGTGTGAATTCCTAGCTCCACGAGATTTTTTGGTGCCACTTAAACAATTGTGTCCTTAACAACCTCTGCCACCCTCCTTTCTAAATCCACACCTAACTTTCCTACTAACACTTTGCCAAAAATACTGTTATTAACAATACAACACTCCACCTAGGAAGAATCACAACCAACCCCGTCACTGTCTTCAAACCCGCCTTTTCCATCACCTGCAAACTTTTCAGGTTCAGCTTCACCTGCCCTTATTCCAGCTTCCTTCGTCCTCTCCCTCAAAACCTCTTTTGCTTCCTCAGCAGGAGAGAAATCAATCCAAGCCAATGTTTTGAAAATCGTAATCGTATTGTAAATTGTAGAGAAAATTGAATCGAATCGAATCGTGAATCGTATTGTAAATCGTAAGATTATTTCTATTTTTTACAAAATTGTCAAAAAATTAAATATAGGTATATTAAAAGGCTAAATATATATAGGAAAGTGACTTTACCCTATTCTTAATCTATATCTAACATATATGTGCTTAAAACAATAGAATTTACCACTTATACAATAGAAGCCTAAGATGATATAATGAAGTTTGACTTGAAAATCAAATAAATCTACATACAATGGCCCTTTAACTTACATATAATAAAAAATAAACTCAATTTCTACTCTTGAATAATGTACATAAGTCATTTTCTAGTAAGAGCTTTAAAAAAGTCTCCCATGGAAAAACTAAACATAAACAAAAAAAAAAGTAGAGAACTAATTCTTAATTGAATTTGCAGAAAAGGATTCAGACATAAGATTTGAATCGAAACCCTTGGGATTCATGATTCACAAATATCGTAAATTATAAGATTTTGACAACATTGATCCAAACTAGTATCAACCACCTCCTGACTCACTGCTCCAAAAATCAAACCAGACAAATCTATGTTACAATCACAATCCCCCACCTGATCCGACTCATCACCAGCTGCCCATTGTTTCAAAACAGCCACAGGAAAAGCCAAAATCTGATCCTCAGGACGTTGCGAGCCAGTACAGGAATCCGTAGAAGCATTGCATCGTAAACTCTTGTCCTCAGTCATACCTTCCCCTGAGTCAGCATTGGTCTTCTTATCTCCTTTGGCTTCATACTTATCAATCTCCCAAACCCAAAGGGCAGCATCTCCAGGTCTTCTCTTCCCCATGTTGATCCTCAATAAAGACTTTTGCCCTTTTTGAGGAAGTTTGAACTCCTAAGTTTAAAGCCTCTTCTCTTAAGAGCCTTTAGCCTATTTAAATAGTGGCTGGAGAAAGCCCCTGCACCTTTTGGTTTCAAGTGATTATCCCTGCTTAAGCCATTGCCCCAAATATGTGCCTGACCTCCACATATTTTCACCTTCTTATCACCTTGATAGTCTAGCAAAGCCTTTTAACTGCCCCCACTTTCAAGATTAAACTTTTTATTTCCTCTAATGTGTAATATGTAATAGCAAAAAAAAAAAAATTCATGCATTAACATAAATATTAGCAGCCTTTGTGCTGAATTGTATGAATTCGGGTGTTGCATGAAAAATACCATTCAAAAAATACCAACTTTAGAAGCTACAGTTTGTATGAGTAAAGTAATACTTTCTTCTGATATCTTTTATTTCTATGATTCTTAAACTTCATTAGCTGGGTAAGAGAGTCCGTCCCAGTTGAATGTGCTTAAGTCCTTCAGTATGTAAGCCAAATGCTATTTACCTTTTAATTTGTTGGGGCATATAGGTGATGCCTCTTGCAACCTGTAAGCCTCTAAAGGAGCTAGTTTTGGCGCAAGACTAGGATGAAGAGCACAGTATCTTCTTTCTTGTGATGATGTGGAACGAGGTGTTATTAAATATCAAAGAGAATAAAGCATTACAAGCATCCCACAGAGAGGCACAAGGTGTTGCCTCTCAAACTAACTTAATAAAAGGAATTATCAAAAACAATTGCAGCTGAGCCCAATACAAACCGTCCTTATTGACGCCTTGTTTAGCTAACCCATCTGCCATAGCATTAGCTGTTCTCCTAACCCAAGAGATTTCAAGTTCATGTTTCTGGTTATCCATTTAAACATTTTCATCTCATCCCTAAAACACCATATTATAGGCTCTGGGTCCTTTAGCCACCCTATCACCGGTTTTGAGTCCCCTTCAATCTCCACATTTGTTAGGCCCATCTCCCTTGCAATCTGTAGCCCTATCATAGCCGCAAGCAATTCTGCTCTGATGGAATCCCCCATTCCCATAGACTGGAAAATAGTGCAATGATAATCCCTTCTTTATTCCTCAACACCTCTTATGCCTGAAGGGTCCAGGTTGCTTTGACTGCTCCCATCAAAATTTAATTTCACGGAATCTGCAACTGGGGGTTTCCATAGAGTCTCTTTTCTTTTTCTTTTTTGGAAGAACTTCTGGCCACTACCCCTCAATTTCTCCAAACATCATCAAAGGACCGAGATGAAAAAGAATCCATGGTCCTAAACCAATGTATCACCCTTACCAAAATGCAGTCTCTTACTGCTTTTATGCATCTCTCCTTTCCTGAGAAAATTCTGTTATTTCTTTCTTCACAGAGAGTCCATATTATTGCTGCTTTATCACTTCTCTACATAATCATTCCCCTCCTTTTAGGCAAAACAAAGGTTGAAGGGTCAAAAACTTTTCTACCACCGTTAGGGGTGCTCATGAAAAACCGAAAACATGAGCCAAACCGAACTGAGCAGTTCTGTTTCGTTTGAATTTTTGTAAAAAAATCAGTTTTCGGTTCGGTTTCAGTTAGCCTAGAAAGAAAACCGGCGGTTAACCAAACCGACTGGTATATATGATATGTATATGTTTTACCAATTATATTTATAAATATTTACTTTCAAAATCTATTCTTGCCTAATGTTAAAAGTGCCTGACATATGCATTTACTCCAATGCATGTCATCATACCTGCAGCTGCACTCTACACTAGACTATCATAGCAATTCATAGCCTCATAAGCTATCATACCACTTCATAGACTGTCAATCTATCACACCTAAATAGTCTAATACTTAAGCATAATTATTTGGTCAAAAAGTTAATTAGCTGTTCATTTGTCATTTACTACCCTATCAAAGACATAACACACTATTTCTAATTTATGGAGCGAACTCTCACATCGTCTCTAGCACAAAAACTCACTAAGACTTTGGGGAAATGGTTCCAGTGAGGCGATGAGGGAATGAGTGAAGAAGTCCTATACAGCCATGTGTTCAAGCTTGGAACTGTGGCTCTCAGGAAAATCAAAAGGTACTATTAAGAGCACCAAGCTCTTGATCTTTCTTTCCTTTGACTGGTTTGTAAGATTGTTCAAGGTTCAACTGAGGTTTAGGAACAATACCATTACAGCGCTGCAGGAGGCTACCAAGGCTTACATGGTGGGATTGTTTGAAGATACTAAAATGTATGTTGTACGGCATTCATAAGAGAGTTACAGTTTTTCCCAAAGTTAGGTTGTGAGGAGAATCAAACGAGAGAGGGCTTGTTAGGTTGTTCACTCT